GGCGGGGGGAAGGGAGGGAGACTGCTAACGGGTACGGGGTTTCTTTCTGAGTGATGAAAACGTCCTCGGATTGGTCATGGCGACGGCTGCACAGCTCTGTGACTATGCGAAACGCCGCTGGATCGCACATTGCCATGGGCGAGTTGTGGGGTGTGTGAATGATCAACACATCTCAATAAAGCTGTTGTATGAAATCATGATAGTGGGCGGTGGTGAGATGGTTGGTGAGCAAATAAGCGAAAGGCTGAGACGGAGCAGCCCAGCGCCGGGGGCAGCCGGGACGCCACGCCTGAGGCGGGGCGGTGGGCTGGGAGGGGAGCCGGACACGGGGTCCCAGGCGGAGGGGCCGGGCTGGTGTGCAAAGAGCTCAGGGGCTCCGGCGAGAGCTCAGTGTCCCCTCAGAAGGGAGAGGCAGCCTGCGCCGTGTAGCGTGAGCCGCCGAGGGCTGGAGAGGTGGCCGGGGCCGGATCACCCAGGTGGGACCCACTGGCCTTAGTGGCCTTAGTGGCCACTGTGCTCAGTACCCTGCAGAAATATCCCCTCCCAGCCACACAACAGGCTGGACGGGTAGCCCAGCCTCGATGGAAAGGGCAGACGTGTGCACAGCGCTTTTTTCTTACTCCTCTCATGAGTGATCCTGTCCCCGGGGGTGGGATGGGCAGGGGTGGGGTGCCGAGGGGCTCCTAGAATTCAACCCAGAGACGTCGGCAACCCCTCGGGTCACAAGGCTGGGGACCACTGGCCAGCCTCCTGGGTCAGGCCGGGCCCCTGCACCGGCCTCCTCGGCCAGCTGGTTTGGGACAGTGGCTGTCTGAGGGCCCTGCCTGCGGGGACTGCGCCCACGCCAGGGGGCTGCGTTCCGGAGCGGCTTCCCAGCAGGGCAGTGGCGGCGCTGCCACTCCTGGCAGTTCCCTCTGGGGACTTCTGCGTTTATTTCCGTCCTGGGCCATGGAGACATTTGGGCGCCAAGGGGCTGCCCGGAGCCAGCAACGGTGGGAGGTGCCAGAGAAATGTCCTGCCAACGTCCCACCTGGCTGCACGGGAGGACAGCAGCCTGTGGCCCCTCCTGTCCTCCCCCCACCACGTTGGGGTCTTCAGAGCTGCAGTGTCACCCCACCCCAACCACCAGGGAGCCAGCCAGGTGTTGCAGGACGCTGCCACCGCAGGCTGGGCCACGGCGGTGACCCCGGGTGTTCCGAGGGGCAGTCGGGCCCCAGCTGGGAGCGGTGGGAGCCGCCGCATCACACCTGCCCTCACACGTGCACACGGCCTTCTTGGGTACCGCTCCCACCGGACATGCACCCCGGCCCCTGGAGGCAGGGGGGCACGAACGTCACTTCTGCTCTTCAGGAAGGTTGATGTCACAAGAGGAGGTGGCAGAGCCAGGATTTGAACCTAGGCCAGTGGGACTCCAGGGTCTGGATCCAACTTCAAATCCTGGGGCCTCTCCCCTACCCTGGCCTCAGGGTGGGCCTGGGAGCACCTGGCACCCTGGGGTGGGCACCTGAGCACGGGCTGCCGGTGCTGGGAGAGGTGGGGCGGGGGCTGGACCCTGCGCAGCTGGGGGACAGTGGCCCCCAGGCCCAGGCTGTGCTGACTCTGGTCCACGGTGGGCAGCCCTCAGTTCATGAAGAGTCATGTGGATGAATGTCTGTAAACCGAGTCACAGTGTGACAGCCCCTGTCCAAGGAAAATGAGCATGACCGAGGTGGCCGAGAGCTGCTCCAGACCTTTTTTCAGGGTCCAGGGACGTGTGTCATATCCTGGCTTTGCCTAGAGTGAGTGAGGGTGCCTGTGCATAGAAGCCATCTTCACAAACATGGACCTCTGGGCTCTAATCAGTGATCCATGCCCTTTGGAAGGACCCTCCGGAATATGGGGGAAAACCCTCAGAGAAGTCCCGGATGTGGCGTGGGGGAAGGGGCGTCTCTTCTCTCCTGAGATGGCCCTGTGTCCACCCACACCTGTCCTCTTCCCTCTGTGCTCGCCAGCACGGGGGCGGCTGGGTGGCTTTGTGAACTGGCTCCTTTTGTGGCCCCCATCAGAATGGGACATCCCCGGGACAAGGGCTGTGTCCCCATCACACAGGGCTCATAGGGCCGAGCTGCGTGGTCAGCCCAGGAAGTTTTGGTCACCCTGCTCCTTCCTAAACATCAGTTTGGCCCGAGAAGAAGAGAGTCTATTTCTCAAAGCATTCTGGCCCCCCGGGAGCAGAGTGGTGGCCACAAGACTCACTTCCTGACCACTCGCCAGGTCTGAACAGTGCCAGGACGGGGCTTGGGGCTGGTGCCTCCCTGGGCTCGGTGCCCAGCCCCAGCCTGCTTCTCTCTGGGGACGGGGAGGAACCCTAAGCATGGCAACTGGGTCATTTCCCAGGACCCAAGTCGTCTTCGCAGGGCTGGCACACCTTGTCCTGCCCCTCAGGGGCTTGGCATTTGTCGCTGTCCTTCGCACGGCCAAGCTGAGGGACGGAATTAGCTCCCCACTGCCATTCTCCAGGCTCTCCAAGCAGCCAAACCATCTGGGAGAGGGACCAGAATGGGGCCTCCTGGGAATGTGCCCAAGGCTTTTTCTTCTGGTCCCTCTGGGAAAAGATCCAGAAAAAGACTGAAAGCTTCCTGGCTGGCAGGAGGGGGTGGGGTGGGACCAGGCCTGGCCCTGCCACCAGGAGAAGCCGCTGGGGCTCTGGGAAGCCCGTTCTCCCACTCAGCCAGGACAGTGGTGGCCTCTCGCTGGGCTCCGCCCACTCCCAGCGACCAGGCAGACCTCAGGGGTCCGTGCTGCAGTCTGGCCCGCAGGCCAAGTGCAATTTCATGGAGGCCTCAGGAGTCAAACCCTCTCCAAACGGGTGGCCTGGAGCTAGCCCTTGAGCACTAAGATCTGTCTGCTGCTCCAGCATGGGCAGAAAAATCGGGGATCGGTAGGTGAGACCCGCACCTCATCCTCCTCCGACCCCTGCCCACTGAGATGTGCCCACCCCCAGTCTAGCTCCTGGGAGAGCCAGGGACAGACACCTGCCCTGCGGACCCCGCCCCATGCTCTCCAGCATGCCAAGGCAGGGACATGTGGGTGCGGACATTTCAGGAAGACCCCTTAGCAAACCACCAAGACACTTCGGGAATGCATGTTCCCAAGGACCAAAAGGAAGGTGAAGGATGGGTCGCAGCTTGGTGCTGCGTCACTTGCTGTTTGGTGCTGCAGTGAGCAAGGGAACTTGTAGGCCAGGGAGAGCTGGGTTCAAATTCTGGCTCTAGTGCTCACAAGCCCTCAAACCCAGGCAAGGGCTGCCCTGCTCTGAGCCCGTTTTCTCGCTCACGACATGGGTGTCATAACACTGCCTCCCAAAAGGCCAGGAAGAGGTGAGCGCTGACAGGTGCCTCTGTAGGGCTCTGCTCAGCACCTGCTGTATACGTCCTCGGGCTTGCGGCTGGAAGCTGCCAGCTTCCCTCCATCCTCTGCCTAAATTTCCATTTTCCTCATGACATCTTCCACGGAGTGGCAGATCGTATTATGGTTTAAAACTACTGACTGCTTCTCCATGGGGCATTGTACTTCCTGCTGCATCTGTGGCAGGTTTGACCACATGACCTGCTCTGGCCAATGACATGTGAGCAGAAGTGACACGCGTTGTTTCCAGGCAGAAAGTCTGAGAGCGGCGTGTGGTTCAGCAGGTGTGTCCGCCTCTGCCACGAGAGACCCTCCAGGATGGCGGCCGCCCGGCCGCCCTGAGTGTCAGAGCAAGATGACACGGGGCAGAGCTGTGGCCGCCTGGAAGGACAGGCAGCAATAGTAAGACAGAGACCTTCATGGTTGGAAGCCATTGCGATTTGGGGGTGACACCCCGGTCGATACACGTCACGGCTGTTGGAGCCTTTGAAGCGGTCTCTGGAGCTGCAGTTTTCAGGCTTCGGCGGCTTCGAGGTGGCGTGGACAATTAACAGAGCTGAAAGGTGATGTCCTGAGGCTGGTGGCCGCTCTGTCGGCGCGCGGGCAGGAGTGAGTGTGTGGTTGGGCGAAGACCAGACTGACGTCGCCCGAGCTGCGTGCCTAATCCTCCTGTAACGCAGGGCGGCAGGGTTCAGCCTGAGGTGCGTCCGTGGGCGCAGGCTTTACGAGCCTCCCGGGGAGGCTCCTCTCCTGAGTCAGAGGCCTGCGACCTGCCCCTGCACCTCCCGGAACCCCACCCGCTCCCCTCCCCCGCCTGCAGGAGCCGTGTGCATGGCGGCTAGCTAATGCGAGATTGCATTCTCCACCTCTCCCCTGCGCTGCGGCCCGAGGTCAGGTGCGGCAAGCTGGCAGCAGCAGGGACAGCGCACACCAGGGGACCCAAGGGGCATCTCTACCCACGTCTTTTTAGCTGTACATTTCCCTGATTGAGGAAGCCCCTGCCAATCCCACTCCAGACCGGCCCCTTCCCCTGCAATCAAATGGGGCGCCGGGGGTCTGGAGCACCCCTCAGCACCGGCCTCGCTGGGATGGGCTGGCGCTAAGTGTTTCTGGTGACTCGCGATCCTTTCTCAACCAGGGTTAGTGGCCTTTTGTCTTGCTGGTCGTCCTTTCACTTTCTCCGCAACGCGCCCCTCTCAGCACCGGGTGCATGCTAGGCGGACAGTGGGTGTCTGCAGTAAAGCAGCAAAGACTGCTTCTGCTCTCCCGAGTTGGTGGCCTGGTGGCTGGTGGCGCTGTGGCAGGACAGAGGGCAGCTCTACCTGTGGCCAGCTCTCTGCAGACTAGCTCATGAAGGTCACACCAGGGAAGCAAAGTGGCCCCCCCGGCCCACAGCTGTTGGGAATGGCCTGGCAGAACCAGCAAGGAACAAGGCAAAGGGGGGCCCCTCCCTCTGCCCCCAGCCTGGGCTCCACTTTCCCTTCTGGTCTCTGCCCCCTTCCTAGTCCCAGCAGCTGGGGACCCTGCGCAGACCAATTCTCTCTCAAAGGATGGCGTTCTGTGGTTGGGACTGGCCCCTCCCAACTGCCCGCCAAGGATTTGAACACAGTAACTCACAAAAGCCATGTCTCTTTATTTTTCATTCCTGCCGTTCAACCAGTTTGCGCAAGCTGCAGATGAGTGGGTTTTGGAGGGGGAGGCGGAGCATCTGGGGACAGACCCTCCTGGAAATAGTCTGTGCACACTGCTGAGGCTGGTTAGACTTGAGAAGCGAATGAACAATAAACTCTACAGAATTAGAAATGTACAAAAGTGTCAAGGTGGCTGCTGGCTGGTGTCTCACCTCCCCGTGGGGGTCAGAGTCACACTCATCAGTCCTGTGCAAAGGTCCTGGGGCTGGCCGGGGGGTTGGGCAGCCAGATTCTTCCCTGGGGACAGGAGCCGTCCTGCTCACCTAGCACAAGTGTGCCGAAAGACAGGCGCCGTGGCCCCCTCCGGCTCTGTGGCTCCTCGAGCGTGTCTCTGTGTCCCGCCTCTATGTCCGCCCTTTGAAAGTGTTCATGCAGGTGTAGGTTCCTGAGAATTTGTGGATCTCCTCGAGTGCAGCCTGTGGGAGTATGCTGCGGGGTGGGGAGGAAGAAAGGAAGACGGTCAGTAGGGGGTGGGGACCAGGGGTGGGTCACCGGGGGCCACGCAAGACGGCACAGTGGAGGCAGAGTCCCCGGAAGTGCGCCTTACCCACCACCAGGCCACACGCCAGCTGACCCTCTGCGGGGAAGGGCTTTCAAGTAAGTGGACAGGTGGCTGCTGACCAGGCCGGGAGGGGAGGTGGGAGACACTTTCAAAGCCACATTCTTGGTGTCTCAGTGCCCCTAGATGTCCCAGACATCAATCAACTGCAACTGCCATTTACTGGACAGAGATTTACCGTGTGCGTCTGAGCAGTCAGGTGCGATCTGGGTGGCACAACCTCCAGGGGACTGTCCCAGCCTCCCCCTCAGGCCTCTCCTCGATGCAACCCAGAGCTCCTGTGCTTCCCCTGCGGGCCCTGGTGTTGTCCTCTGCTGGTCACTTGGCAAGCCCGTGGCTGCCTTTGTGGCCGACATTTCACTTCTGGTCCCCAGCCCCTAGCACAGGTCTGGCACGGGGGTTCGGGGGGAGCCCTCAGTCCGCTTGTTGATTCAGACCGAAGGGCCCTGGCCCACTCTAGTATGAGATGGGAAAGGTTTACTTTCAGCTGGAGCAATCCGGAAGGCTTCCTGGGGGTGGTGGCACTAGAGTTGAGCCTTTAAACATTTCTCTTAGGGAAGCTGAGGTGGGTTGCACTGCAGGGAATATTTCCTTTTTGAAAAGTAGTGGGGGAAGGTGGAAATGTAGGCTGGGGGTTTGCTGTGGAGACCGCTGAGATGTTCTAGACAAACTGACTTTTCTCTAGAACATTCCAAAAGGCTTCTAAGAGGCTCCCCTGAGGTGGGGGATGGCAGCCGGCCTCGGTGAGGACCTGAGCCCCTGCACTCCCAGGGCTCCCTGGGGCGGCAGAGGGGCATGCCGGATGGACAGGCAGGATGGCTGGGGGAGGCCGGCGTGTGGCCTGAACGCCGGGTGCCCCACGCCTGGCCTCTGAAAGGCTCCGAGTCTGGAGGAGAAAGGACGGACGGACGCCGTCGCTGTGCCCACCCGTTCGAGGCTCGCAGAGGGAGGCTGGCTTTCCTGGGAGCCGGAGTCTGACTGACGCCAGGCCCAGCCTGGCACTTGCGTGCTTCCTTCCCTGAAAGCGTCTCCCGGGTCAGAGGGCATGGGTCGGGCGGGGGCCGGGGGTGCAGATGGCTGGAGCCCCCGAGGAGGAGCCCAGGGTCCCTGGTGGCTCCGGGGACGAAGATCTCCCTGCTGTCCTGACAGGACCAAGGAAACCCCGCTTAGGTGGCCCCTGCGAGAGCCCCTTCAGTATGGCACGGGGATGGGCAAGTCTGGAAGGTTCTTAGGGAATACGATGCCAGGTGAATTCTAGGGGAGGACTGTCTCGTTTAATGAAGAGGTTTGCCCCGGGGAACCCCGCCTGACGACTGCCATGACGTTTCTGGGAATTCCGAGCCTTTGGCATGGAGGCCCCTGTGCTGCCCATTAGAGTAACTTCCCGAGGCTGCGCTGTGTCGCCGTGCTAGAGCAGTGGTTCTCAAAGTGTGGTCCAGGAACCCTTGGGGGTACCTGAGATCTCTGCAGGGGGCCGTGACGTCAAACTGTTTTTATAATACTAAGATGTTATTTGTGTTTTTCACTCTCTTTGTCTCAGTGTACAGTGGAGTTCTCCAGAGGCTATATGACATGGCATATAGCACAACAAATGAAAAGCAGAAGCAGGTATAAGAATCCAGCTGTCAGCCGGGCGTGGTGGCTCACGCCTGTAATCCTAGCACTCTGGGAGGCCAAGGCGGGTGGATTGCGTGAGCTCGGGAGTTCGAGAATAGCCTGAGTAAGAGCAAGACCCCGTCTCTACTGTAAAAAGAAAGAAATTAGCCAAACAACTAAAAAATAGAAAAACAAATTAGCCGGGCACGGTGGCACGTGTCTGTAGTCCCAGCTACTCGGGAGGCTGAGGCAGAAGGATCGTTCCAGCCCAGGAGTTGGAGGTTGCTGTGAGCTAGGCTGACACCAGGGCACTCTAGCCCGGGCAACAGAGTGAGACTCTGTCTCAAGCAAAACAACAACAAAAAGAATCCAGTTGTTTTTCATTAAACCAGACAACAAAGAGATTTGTAAAAATGTAAAACAATGCCACTCCTTACTGCATCTATTTTGTTTTAAAAAACATAATTACAAGCAGTCTGGGAGGCTGAGGCAGAGCGCTCAAGGTCAGAAGTTCGAAACCAGCCTGAGCAAGAGCGAGACCCCCATCTCTACTAACAAAATAGAAAGTAATTAATTGGCCAACTAAAAATATATAGAAAACATTAGCTGGGCATGGTGGCGCATGCTTTAGGCCCAGCTACTCGGGAGCTGAGATGAAGATTGCTGGAGCCCAGGAGTTGAGGTTACTGTGAGCTAGGCGTGCCGAGGCATTCTAGCCCGGGCAACAGAGTGAAACTCTGTCTCAAGAAACAAACAAACAACAAACAAAATTTACATAATTACAAAAAGTTTTTCTAGTGGTCACTAGAAAAAAGATATATACTATATATATATATATACACATATATATAAATTACTTGCCATAAAAATATATTTATGCTAAGGCAATGGGTTTGTTATTAATAACAACAAATAAATAAATGTTGTATCAACCTTGAAGGATTCTTCTAATTTTCTTTTAGCAGTACGCCGGCCAGCGCCGCCCGGCCAGCGGCCCGCCGTACCTTTTCAAGATGACAAGTGCGTGCATGGTACGTGGCAGCAGCAGCAGGGCCTGGTTGAGCTGCACGGCCTCCACCGTCCGCCGGGCCACCGTCTCGGGCTTCAGTGGGGGGAAGAGGTTGGGAAACCTGAAGGCAGGAAGAGACGCAGTGGGTTTCTCCCGGAGAGGCACCTGCTCGTGCCAGACGCCTCTACACGTCTGGGTCACCCTTTGGCCTTTCCTGTTTGGGAGACTCAAGGCCTGTTGGGAACACGACCCCCCAGCCCAGGCTTGTCAGGAGTTCCATGTTCCTCCACCCTCCCTGTGCACGTAGGTCTCCCCTAGAGTGCAGGACTCCCAGCCCCCCACCTGGGACCCATTCTCCAAGCTCCCCCAGGGGCTCCCGGTGCACTTGGACTCTGTCCCATGCTCTCCATGGCCCTGCGCAACCTGGGCCTGCCATGGCTGCGACCCTGCCTTCCTACTCGCTCTGCCAGCAGGACTGGCCAGCCTCTCCGTTCTTGTCACATTATGCTCTGTCCTGTCAGGGTCTTGTGCCAGCTGTCCCATTGGCCTGGCTCTCTCCTACCAGCTCCTGGGAGGCGTCTCAGCCCAGTCTACCCAGAGTGGCCTCTGATCTCGTTCCCTGCTAGTTTCCTTGGACGCATGTCCCCCACCTAGCATGGCCTTGCTTGTTGGTGGCCTGTCTCCCCCGTCAGACTATGAGTTCCACCAGGACAGAGGCCTGGTCGGTCTTGCTCCCTAGCACAGAACCGGCACATAGTAAGTGCTCAATAAACACTTCCTGTTCCCCACGAGAGTCCTGCTCCTCCTGCCTCGAGGCAGGGGCTCCGCTGGAGGTACCTTCGGCCCAGCTTGCTCACTAACTCACCGATTGACTCATCGATTCATTCAAATAGTTATAGAGCACTTTCCATGGGATTTCAAAATGAATGAATGATTGAATAAGCAAATATCAGTGGCTCCTCATGCATATTAGAGGCATCTGACCCCAAACCCATACAATGGTGATGTTCCCTAAGTGCCAGGCCCTTGCACAAAGGATTCTCCCAATTTACAGACGAGGAAACTGAGGGTTCAGTGAATCAGTGGGACACTAGGGATTTAAATCAGGCCAGTGCTCTATCGCCTTCACTCACTGCTTTTCCTGCCCTCCTGGGCCTGTAGGTGCAGGGCTGATGCTGCTGGCTCTGACCCCAATCCTGCAAAGGGCTTGTGATCCGCTCTGGCACCAGGAAGATTAAGGGAGATGAGTCACCTGGCCCCGATGTCATTCCTGAGCAATAGGCAGCCCTTGGGCTCCCAGCGGGGCTTGGCCTCAGAGGGCACATGGATCTCGGGCCCACCCTCACACTGTGCCACCACGCTGGTGATTCTAAGACAGCCCTGCAGTCAGTCTAGAAGGGCCAGCTCTGGGGTTCTGCAGAGAGGAACAGGCAGAGGCAGCTGACCTTGGAATCCTACAAATGTGGCGGACAGTCTAGAGTCTCCAGCTTCCGCTTGTGGCCTGTCCTATTTCTCGGGGAAGGGGAGACAGGATGGAGAGACCAGGCTCCATGGTCCTGGGGGGCCCTTCCTGGCAAGACCTCATGCAGGGGAACCCCACAGAGGAGGCTTCAAGCACACCTGCAGGGGGGATGTTCTCCTTCTCCATGGTGGGTGGGACGGGAATAACACCCATGGAGGCAGCACAGATCCGTGGAAAGAGTGTGGTTAGCTAGCCAATTTCAAGCTGCGTGGCCTTGGGCAAGTAACTTTGCTTCTTTGAGCCTCAGTTCTGTCATCTGTAAAATGGGGATAGGAGCCACATGCAGCAGCATTTGTAAAGGGTCTGGTGGTGTGGCTGGAACATAGGTGAGGCTCAGTAAACAGTGGTTTACAAACAGCAGCACCCACTGACATGGCCAACCTTGCTGGGAAACCGTCAACTTTGTCCTAAGCATGCCCCGCCCCCCATTTAACCCCAGGAGTCTGCTAAGCTTGGCTGTAGGAAGAAGCCAATGTTTTCATTCATTTTGTATCCTTTCAGGAAACGGGAGTTGGTTAAGTGCCGATTATCCTCGTTCTACTCTTCTGGACAAGCCCCGGAGCTCACCTGCACAACCACAGGGAACGAACGTTCACTAGCCCTCACTACGTGCCAGGCACGGCAGGCTGATTCACGAGTGCATCTAGCCCATGGAGTGGGGGGTACTATTAGTCATCCCTTTTTATAGATGAGGAAACTGAGGTACAGAAAAGGTAAGTAACTTGCCTGAGGTCACACAGAGCTGGGATTTGACCCCAGGCGGTTTGGCCTCCACTCTGAAGTGGAAAAATGTCTTGGGAAAACCTTGAATATCTCTCTTAAGTGTCGGAGAAGAAACTTAAACTAGGAGGTGAAATAGACACACAGGCTCCATGTCTGGAATGTCCTGCCCACTTCTGTGCTCAGGGCCCCCAATTAAAACTGTGGATTGCCACTGATGCACTTCCATCCAATATGTATTTATTGAGCACCTCCTGTATACTCAGAAGAAAAGAAACCAAACCAAGCTGTCATGGGGTAAAAAGCCAACATGGAACATTAATAGACATTAGCCCAGCCCCCTCTAAATTCAGAATTTCTGATAATTTGCACGTAATCCAGGTGGAAATACATGCCTCTGTTACAAACTCTGAAGATATGGTCTGCTAGGAAAATTAATATCATATGCATTTGTGAAAATGTTTATTGTCAGTAAAAATAATGAGAGCAATAGCTTTTTCTTAACCATTTAGTATGTCTCAGCTTGCACTAGATATGTCATATGTATTATTTCTAATTCTCCTGACAATCCTACAAGGAAAATATTATTTCCACTGTTTTACACGTGACCAAAGTAAAGCTCAGAGAGGTAACAAAACTAGCCCAAAGTTGCACAGCTGAGAGCAGCCGATTCAAACCAGGAAGTTTTGATTTTTGATGACCAAAACCACACTGTCCCCATTAACAATAGCTAAGGCGTGCTGAGTGACCCCAGATGGCACACAGTATGCTGAACTGTGTCATTTTATCCTCATGAGGACCCTTCCCGTCACCTTTATTTTTAGAAGCTGCTGAAACATACAGTTCAGAAGGTGGATGATCATACCCCGGATTGCAAAAAAGCCCAGGGAAAACAGTTTTCGGGTAATTCTTATCTCATGTGATCTGTGATCACATGGCCCTACACCACTGCGCGTCATCACAGCGCAGTTTACTGAGCGCTCCCTGGTAGGGGCACATGTGGTGTTCCAAGCCCGGTCCCACTGTGGCCTCACCAGGAATCTAGACATTCTCGTCACCCCATTTTACAGCTCAACCATGAAGGCCCAAGCAGTGACTAATCGGACCCTACATTATAAGGCGCATCACAGCCACAGGGGTCACTACCCCAGTGCCTGGCTCCCAAGGGTGAGCTCTAAACCAGCGGACCCCACCCCCTTGATTTAATTGGTCCAGAGGAGGAGTGGCTGGGCCTTATATTTCTTTAAATTGAGCTATAATGTGCATACAATAAAAGGCATAAATCCTAAGCGTACAGCTGGATTAACGTTCACCTACTTAACCACTGCCCATCTAGATCAAGAAGAGAGGACATTTCTAAAAGCCTAGAAGGTTCCCTCGGGCTCCCCTGGTGGGCACTGGTCTGATGTCCATCACCATAACCCGGTTTTGCCTGTTTTAGAGCTTCCCACAAACGGTGCCCTTCGCTCCCGTCTCTAGCGTGTCCACGCCCTGTTCTCTGCTGGGTCCAGACCCCCTGTGGCCGCCAGCCCTGGCATCCGTACAGGCTCCCCGAGCCGGGAAGCGGGACCCGCACCGCTGTGGCGTCCCACTGCCTTGCAGATGGAAAATCAGGGAGGGGAGCGTCAGGCTCCAGCCAAAGGCAAAGGGCTTCTGGATGATTCCATACCAGGGCTCTCCCTGCGCAGTCGGCTGCTACACTTGCGAGGCTCGGGGAGGCAGGGGGGGAGGCTGGTCCCCGAGGCTGGTCCCCTGAGCACTGGTCCCACTGACCTGACCCTCATGCCCTGGAACATCTCGGTGCTGGTGTGGAAGGGCAGCACCGTGGTGGCGCTGACGCCCGGACAGTCCAGCAGCCCCAGGGTCAGGCTCTCCATGAAGGCGAAGGCCGACGCTTTGGACGTGCAGTAGTCGATGGCGCCCGGGATGGCGGACAGCGCCAGCACGGAGTTGAGGCACACGATGTGGCCGTTCTGCAGCTCCAGCATGCGTGGCAGGAAGGCCTTGGTGGTCTGAGGGTGGACGGGGTGTCAGTGTGGAGTGGCCGCAGCTTCCCACGACCCCTCCTCTACCCCCCTCTCGGGGAGAACGGGCCACCCGGGACACGCACGCTGCTCCAGCACCCCAGCCGTCCCCAGAGGCTCCCCGCTGCGGGACGCTGAGCTCACATCCCAGAACGCCTGATGCCCCCTGGGGCTGGCCATTCCTCTTATGCGGCCACCGTGTCCTTGGACATCCCCGCTGGCCTGAGTCCAAGCCCTGGCGAGCCTGTCCTTCCGGCCCCACCCGCCCGGGCTCCCCGGCATGCCCGGGGCTGGCTCTGGCCCGGGGCAGCCCTTACCCAGAACTGGCCCAGGGTGTTGATGTGCTGGGACTTGAGGAGGGCGTCGTCGTCGCTGTCCATCAGGCTCTTCCCGTGGACCACGGCGGCGTTGTTCACCAGGATGGTGATGTCGCCCACCTGCAGGCGAGAGGGGGCTGTGGGGGGCCGCGAGGGCAGCCAGCCCCAGGGGCCTGCACCTGCGGACCTGGCCCACCCCCCCGCCACCAGCCACGGGGCCTCAAGAAGCCACGTCACGTCTCCGAGCGGCAGTCTTGATTTGTGAGATGGGGACAGTGCCGTACCAGGGCTGTTCTGAGGAGTGGGAATAATTCTCGGCACATAACATACCCGGCACATGGCATATTTATAGTAAGTGAGGCTATCGTTACATAAAAATAGTTAACATCACCACGTGCCAGACAGCTAACGGGGTGGGTTTTGCTCTCTCGGAGTTCACGGATATATATGCTCAGTCCACACAGACGCCTGGAGTCAGGAGAAGGATTTTCCCAGCGGGCGACGGGACACTGGTTGCCCCCCCGACCACTGGCAACCTCGGTTGCCCCCCGACCAGGCTGCTCACCTTCTCCCGGACAGCCTTGGCCGTCTGGTACACCTCCTCCCGGTTGCCCACGTCACAGATGAAGTAGTGGCACTCGGTGCCCATCTGCCGAATCTCCTCTGTCGTCTCCTTCAGGCATTTCTCGGTCCGGCCCCAGAGAACAATCTGGAAGGAGAGAACGACAGCACTGAACGAGGGTCACTAAGCAAGCTGCAGAGGTTCGATGACTGCCGTCAGACATCCAGTATTTAAAATAACTTGTCTCTAAATTACCGGCCTCCCTGACTTCACCCACTGATAAAGTACATGAAGCAAAATAACAATATAATTTTTTAAAGGGACATGGCCTACTCTTTAGAAAGCCAGTAGTTTCTGGGCCGGGTCATGATCAATTAATGTGCTATGCATGAGTCTTTCTTACACACTCCTCCTGCAGGCCACGTCCTGCCAGCCCAGCTCCTGGCACCCTCCACCGGTAGAAGTAGCAGCAGAGCCGTCCGTGGGCAACATCCAGGGTGCCCGGGCAGGGACCGGCGCCTTCTCACCAGCCAGCTCTGGAGCCGCCGTTAGAACGCCCTGGGCGGTTCCAGGGAGCAGCCTGGAAGGGTCCGTCCTCAGCGCGGCCAGCCACAGGGTAACGGCCAACCACAGGGTAACGGCCAGCCACAGGGTAACGGCAGGTGGGGAGGACATTCCCAGGTGGCCCGGGGGAGAGCCTTGCTTTTGGCAGAATGGCTTTGTGCAGGGCACCGTTGGGGACTCTCTCATGAAGCTGGACCAAGCTGGGTGGACAGGGGATTGATTACATAACAGGAGTAGTCACCTGTTGTCCCCTTGGAAACGTAGAGCTTGTGGGTTTCTCTCCAAGATTTGGGGGGGGGGGGGGGGTTGGTTTTCCCCTTGCCTTTTGGGGGTTGAGGGGGTTGCCCCCTTGGTTGCGTTCCTTCCTTGGGGGAGTTTCCAAGGGGGCGTTGTTGGCCGTTTTCCGGCGGGGCGGAGCGGCGGCTTCGGCCGGCGGGGATTAGTGCGGGCTCGTTAGGCCAGGAGGTGGCCTTAGCAGGACCAGTAAGGGTTTGCGCAAATTTATGAATGGCCGGCTCATCGAAGGCTCAGAAGAACAACTTGGCTAATTCCCAATCTCGACCTATATACACAGGAGCGCAGCACAGGTCCCTACAGCTCTTCGGTGGGGGCAGAAGGGCCCAGGGTTGGAGGACAGGGAGGCCGAGAGCCGCAACCACGGGTCAGCTCCACCCGCAGGGGGGAGAGGCTGGCGCTGGGCACTGCCTGGGACAAACACGGAGAAAGAAAGAGCTCAGAGGCTTCCTGGGGATTATCCTGGTGGGTTTCTATTTTTGTTTTTTCTTTCTTTTTACAACTATCGACAAAATTCCCCCTAAAAATAAAACCCAGCATGGAAACCCCAATGGGTGAAACCAATAAAAGGAATGAATGATACATCCAACTCCATAATATTTTCTTAAAAGCTACTCATGAGATCAAAAAGGCTGCTTTGGGAAGGCAAATATTGCAAACTGGGGTTACAGAGGGCAGCTCCAGACCAGAACCACGCTGATTCTCCGTTTTGCTTCGTTACATGGTGTAGACAAAAGTCCCACGGATGAGGGGTTGCTAACGGTGACATCTATCAACTGCTAAGCTTGACATCTCAGAACTATCACTTAAGCAGAAAGGGCACAAGATGGGCTTGGCCAGAGGGACACACAATATTCTGGTGGTCCCCAGTGGATTCGATATTTTTAATTAGAGTTTTAAAAACTTTTATTTTGTAAGGCCGGACGTGGTGGCTCATGCCTGTAATCCTAGCACTCTGGGAGGCCGAGGCAGGAGGGAGTTGGAGACCAGCCTGAGCAAGAGTGAGATCCCCGTCTCTACTATAAATAGAAAGAAATTAATTGGCCAACTAAAAATGTATATAGAAAAAATTAGCCGGGCATGGCGGCACATGCCTGTAGTCCCAGCTACTTGGGAGGCTGAGGCAGGAGGATTGCTTGAGCCCAGGAGTTTGAGGTTGCTGTGAGCTAGGCTGACACCATGGCACTCTAGACTCTGTCTCAAAAAAAAAAAAAAAAAAAAAAAGTATTTTGTAGAAATAAATAAATAAATAAAAGTGTTCTCTCAGCCCCTAAAGCAGCTCTGGGCAAAGCCCAGTTTGAAAACCCCATTAGTCCAACCACTTTATTTATTTTAATTGAAGCCTTGAAACGCAGAAGCGAGGGAGGAGTCTACCAGCCGCTCTCCGCAACCATGAAAGTCCATCAAGGACAAACGGACTGCAATCACACAGGCTGCAAGGGACAGTTTCTTATCTGTTGAACTGAAAACAGCCTGAGAATTTGTTCCTCCAGGAGAGGCCTGGAGGTGAAGTTTGTGGAGACGGAGGGCAGCATTTGTTCTCTGTGTGTGCATTGCTCCAGGAAGGCAATTTGGCGAAGGCATCCTCCACGCCACTGGACCCCACCCTCACCTTGCAGCCATTGTTGTCCAGGTTTCTTTCTATCCTCCCTTGTCACCCCATCCATCTGCCCACCCATCTACCCTCCCACCCATCCACCTGTCTGTCCAGCTACCTGCCACCCACCCGTCTACCTGTTCATCCATCCACCATCCACCCATCCATTTGCCCATCCTCCACCTACCATCCGTCCATCTATCCATCCGTCTATCTGTTCACCCATCCACCCATCCACTCACCCACCTCTCCTCCCCCCCTCCCTCCCAACCCACTCCATCCATCATCCATCCAAGTGGTTTCTGAGGGGAGGCAATGCTTAGTCTTCTTTATCCTGCTCTGGTCCCTGCCTAAGCCCACCCCATCTCTGGCTCATGTGGGTAACAGGACCATGGGGCTTGCACCATTCCCTCGGGTCTGGCTGAGCCAGGGAGAGGGGCCTCTGGGGACCCTGAGAATTCCTGGGCAAGTTGGCAGAGAGGGAAAGCTTATAGCTGGGGGCTGGCTGGGAGGCACAGGGTTCAGATGCCTGGGAGGACAAGCTACGACCCCGAGGGGTCTGCAGCAGCGGTCCAGATGGGGTGCCTTCCGCTCTGGGAGCCCCGGGCTTGCTTCTCGGCACGGACAGGTGAGCACGGGGCTCCCTGGACCCCGCTGAATGACATCTTTCTGGCTCCTGAACCCTGGGTAGGGCGAGAAAAGCAGGGGTCTGAAGCTCCCCATGGTCCAACCAGGAAACCTGCAGTCAGAGGACTGGGGAGAACACACTGTCTGCTGGGTGGGGAGACCCCTGGCGAGGAAGCGGGGCAGGGGCAAGGGTGCCGGGATGAAGGCTGTGCCCCATCGTCTTCCACAGGTGGGGCCCTGGGGCTTGAGGGTGTCCCAGTGGGCTGGGGGTGTGCCCCTCTCCCCCAGAACCATGACAGTTTTGTCTTTCTCCCTCCTCACCCCTGACCCCACCGCTGGGCTGGGAGCCCCCTGCTGCCCCCAGATCTGTCATGTTCATTTTCACATCCCGGTGCCCAGGGTGGCGCGTCCCCTCTGTGGAGGGGTGGCACAGGCGGGAGGAGGGGCAGCGCTCGCCATGGGGCAGGGGTTCGTGTCAGACGAAAATGAGGCTCAGGCCGCTGTGTGGGTGCCCTGCCTCGTGTGTCTCTCAGTGCAGGCCTCTGTTTGTGTGTCTCTGTGTGTGTGTCCATGTATGTCTGTGTGTGTGAGAGTGCGTGTAGCCTTGTGTGCTGCTGTGTCTCCTCAGGTCCCTTGGTGGATGCTCAGGGTCCCCGGGGGGCTGGCTGGGCAACTTCTGTCTTAGGAACCAGCTGTGTCTCCAAGGTGACGGGGTGGTGGGGGGCTGCAGGGATGGGCAGGGTGGGACGGAGCCCCTTCCTGGTAGGTGCTATCGGTGGGGCTGCTCCAGCCACTGTCCCTTCCTGGCCCCTCCTCTTCCTCAGTCCCTTGCCCCAACCACTCTGGGGAACCCGAGTCACTGACCAGGAAACTGGCAGGTGTAGCTCGGCAGGCCTGTCCAGGTGGCTCCTGCCAGAGTCACCTGAGGGTGACCCGGACGGCTGGCAGGAGGAGGCCCGCCCAGCGCCAGAAGGAGAGCGAGGAGGCAGGTAGGTGTCTGAGGGTGTGTGGGGCAAGACGCCTTCAGGGGGTGCAGATTTACGAGCCCCGGGAACCCAGGGGCTCGTAAATCCCCATCCCTGCCTCACCCAGAGCCGGCCTGACCCCCTTGGCAGCACCGCACTGAAGGCAAGTAATAATATCCACTTTTCGTAGCTCAGGAAACCGTGGCTCGGAGGAGTTAAGTATTAATACCTCGCCCAGCGTCGCTGTCAGAGTGTGGCGGAGGCAGGGTTTGAACCCAGGGCCGGGTCCTTGGCAGAGGCAGCCCTGAACCCCGGGCGCAGGGGGGCGGGCTGAGCTTTGAGAACGCTGCTCCAGCCCCAGAGACCTGGCGCCCAGCGCTCACCGCGCCCCGCAGGTCCTTCTCCCCTGGCTCATGCCTCGCCCAGGCGGGGGAGCCACAGGATGGGTGCGCCCAGGCGGGAAGCCACAGGATGGGCGCTGTGCCCACGCTGGGATCCCACAGAGACGCAATCAAATGTGGTCCTGCCGCAGGGAGCCCCTGTTCCAGCAGGAGAGGATGGAAAACAGCCGGCCACAAGTTACAACAGGTGGGATAAAGACCCAACAAGGGCCCGGGTGCGGTGGCTCACGCCTGTAATCCCAGCACTCTAGGAGGCCAAGGTGGGAGGATCGCTTGAGGTCAGGAGTTCGAGACCAGCCTGAGCAAAAGTGAGACTCTGTCTCTACTAAAACTAGAAAGAAAAAAATTAGCCGGGCATGGTGGCGGTGCGTGCTGGCAGTCCCAACTAGTAGGGAGGCTGAGGCAGGAGGACTGCTCGAGCCCCAGAGTTTGAGGTTGCTGTGAGCTAGGCTGATGCCACGGCACTCTAGCCTGGGCAACAGAGCGAGACTCTGTCTTCAAAAAAAAAAAAAAAAAAAAAGAACCAGTACTACTATCTGTGACTTTTAAAATAGAAAGCTGAATAGAAGGTTACCCCCAAATGAGTTCCTCTATAGACCCTGTGTGCAGGTATGCCCCACCCCTGCTTGTCCCCCAGTCCCCCCGAGTGCCCTTCGCACCCGTCCACCGTGAGGTGACTGTCTACTCGCATCTCTCTCCCTGCTGTTGAGGGAGGGAGAGCCTCACTGGTTACACAGCACCCTTGGCCGTCTGCCTGCCGTCATTGCCATTTGGAATCTACCTCCTGTCTCTGGAGGGCAGGAACTAAGTCTCACCCACTTTGGGCTCCCTGTGTCCCTGCCTAGCATCTAGCACAGACTGGTTTTTGCTATTTTAAATGCAGAGGCTACCTGTAGACTCCTATTCATTCTGCAAAACCCTGCTTGAATGCCCCCTTAGTTCTGAAGCCTCCCTGGCTGCTCCTTCCGTCCTCCCTACGGCAGCAGCAGCAGCAGCAACTACACAACGGCTGGCACCTACTGAGCACTCACCACGGGCCCGCCACTGTGCTGAATACGTCAAAGTGACTTTTCCTTTAATCCTCACACCCCATGCTCACCCTCCCCGTTTTATAGGTGAGCCTCAGACAGACAGAGTGCCTTGTCCAGGGTCACACAGCCCGTAACCGCAGGGCCGTGTGACTCAGAACTCCCCTTCTTCACTGCTGACACCAGCCCTGGCTCCTTCTGCGTGTGCTGGCCTATCGTGGGCAGCCCCGCCTTCTCCATGACCTCTCCAGGTCCCCCAGGGAATCGCAGTCATCTCGTAACCCGGCACCCAGCACCAGCTGTGCACACAGTAGGAGCCCAACCACCGCTGTCACACAGCACTGGCCCCAGGAGGCTTCCGGAAAACTCTGCTGAGCAGAGAACACTGGGGGACCTCTGCTCTACCCCACCTTCCCTCCCTGGCGCAGCGGGGGCTGCGAGAATGCCTGCACTTGGCCTTCATCCCTGGAGGTCAGCTGCGGAGCACCGTCCCACCAGGACATGAGCTGAGTGGTCTCCGGGTGGGTCCCAGGAGAAGCCTCTCTTTATAATTGGCAGCCCCGGAAAGATCCAAGTCCCCGGGCAGGTCTTTGGCAGCCCAGCTCATGTCCCACGGGCCCCCGTCTGGGAGCTGGGTCGGTGCTGAGTTGCTTCTCAGAGAGAAAGAAAATACCCATCAGGGACCCCAAACCACAGCAGGCCAGGCGGTGGGGTGGGAAGGTCACAGTTTGGAGGGTGCACAGCTCTCGGCTCCCAGCTCGCCAGCAAAAATCCGTCCTTGTAGCCGGATAAAATGAGCACACAGGCCGGGCGCTGTGGCTCACGCCTGTAATCCTAGCTCTTGGGAGGCCGAGGCGGGCGGATTGCTCAAGGTCAGGAGTTCAAAACCAGCCTGAGCAAGAGCGAGACCCCGTCTCTACTATAAATAGAAAGAAATTAATTGGCCAACTGATATATATATAAAAAATTAGCCGGGCATGGTGGCGCATGCCTGTAGTCCCAGCTACCCGGGAGGCTGAGGCAGAAGGATCACTCGAGCCCAGGAGTTTGAGGTTGCTGTGAGCTAGGACGCCACGGCACTCACTCTAGCCTGGGCAACAAGCGAGACTCTGTCTCAAAAAAAAAAAAATGAGCACACAGAATTGAGTCTGTATTAATACATCCAGAGGTAACGTGGGGTGCAGAATAGAAGGGGATGAGCACGTGCACAGCACAGGTTAACATTTGAGTCTCCCCCTCTTTCGTACCCCTGTCTATCTGCAAAGAGAGAGACCCTATCTCTCGAGTAGAGTGGCCCAGATCACAGGCTCTGGAGCCCGACTGCCAGGGTTCAAGTCTTTGATCTACCACTTAGGAATTACACCAACTTAACGTCTATGAATTCAGGTTTAAAACATCCACTTTGAAGTGTAGTTGGGAGGATTAAGAAAGAGTACAATAAATGGCAGCTGCTATTATTTTTATTATTAGTAGTAGCAGCAGTAGCAGTTCAGCAACAGAAATAGACCCTCCTTACTCGTGGAAGACCCCTCTCCTTTACAAACCTGGAGCCACTGGGGTGTTGGCTGCTGGGAAGACCTCATATGGGGATCTTTGTCTGTCTCCTCTTAGACCCAGCCTTGCCGGGGGGCAGAGCCACAGAATCTATCATCTCTCAGTCCCCAACCTCAGCGACCAGCAGTCAAACCACCCACCTGCAGAGCGAGCCCTGGTTCATCCACTCGGAGGACTGCTCGGGGAGGAGAAGTTTTCAAGCTGCTGAGAGGTGAGGAGCTTGGCAGACATTGTCCCAGGCCTGTCTCCAACCCAGTCATCCAGAGCGGTTGCACTTTAATTAGGCTCCTATGACAGTCATTTCTAGTGTAACACAAAGACGCTGTCACTATAAAACCAATAAGGTTCGAATGCTACTGTTCTGGGTCTGCAGCCGCCCCCTCCAGCACAACTCTGTCCTGAAGCTTTCTTGCTAGGAATGAGCCCCAGTGGGTTCCCTCTAGCTGTCACCTGCTGTGAGTGCTGGCCTGTCACCAGGGCACACCCCACAAGCCTACCAGTCCTTCCTCTTCCAAAGACAACCCTTCGGTATGGATCCACAGTGGCTGGGCACCGCCTCGAGACGTCCCCTTCCTGGACTTTCATTAGAAAGTCCTTCCACCTTTTCTCCAGGGATGCCTGTTTCCAACCTTCCACACCCTGTTGGAAAATTCTATGGGCATCACAAGATTCTGTGGTTCTGCCCCATTTGAGGCTGTGTCTAAGGGAGGCAAGATGTAGATCCCCACTGGGTCTTCCAGGCAACCATCACCCCAATGGGCTACAGGGATCTTCTACCAGCAAGGGGGGGTCTATTTCTGTTGCTGTGTTAACAGTGGCAATAACAGCTGGCGTTTATTCCTGCAGCCTCAGGTCTGTTACAGGTACCCACTGCCGATCCCAGGAGGCCAGAGGGGACAAAAGCCACTGGCTTCTTCTCTGTTAGGGACTTAGGCTAGATCCTCAGGCGTCCTTCCTGTTCCTGCACTGCTGAGCCGCCCAGCGCCAGGCGGGCCTCTCCCACGTGGCGCTGCGGAACAGGCTCTCGCTGGCTTCGGCCCCTGTTTTGGCCTGCCGAGAATGTTTTGGCTACCGCTGGCTCAGCTGCTGGGGAGGATTGTTATGAAGCTCCTCAAATTAGATCAGCCAGTGGTGTCGCCCTCCCACAAGTCCCTGACCGCAACCTGGAGCAGGGCAGAGGCTTCCTCCAGACGGACATCCAGCCTGGAACCGGGCCCCCTGGGAGGCACAGGGATTGCCACGAGCTCTGACACGCGTGCGGGGCTCGCTACCTGGCCACGCCGGGCTCAGAACCAGCGCAGCCCGGCATCGCGTGCTCTGACAGCGCTAGGGGGGGCATGCCACGCCCGTTTCAGAGGCAGGAAAACACACATGCGAAGAGGCTATACTACCGACTCCAGGTTGCTCAGCTGGTGAATGGTGGAGCCGGACCCCCAGCCTACGCGGTCTGATCCCCAAACCTGTGCCCTTGGACACTGACTTCACCTGCAGGAGCGAAGGGACCCCCCGAAACAACGCATCCGTGCATTGCACAGATGCCACGGAGCACGTGCCACGTGCAAAGACTGGATGCAGAGGTGCCCTCCTCCCAGGGAGAGAGGGAAAGATGCCACCCTGCCCAGGCGTGGCACATGGTCCTGACGACCAAGTGGTTATGACATGGCCGACAGGGATACCGCGAGGACGCTGGGAGCCTTATGCGGCCCAGGTGGGAAGGCAGGTGAGGACAGGTGCTGCCCTCCTGAGCGTGGTTCAGCACGGTGCCCGGGATTGGTGGCTGCGGCGAGGGGTGTGGGGTATGCACGGCGTGTCCTTGGTCTCCACGTGGGCAGGGAGGGACAGTGTTGAGCACGCACCACCACCGCGGCTGGCGACTCTTGGGCTCTCACTGTGCGCTGGGCTCTGCTCTGCGCACCCGGGTTTAGTCCTCACAGCTACTCGGGGGTGGGCAGTGGGCTGATCTGTGGCCAAGTCCTAACCCCTGGTACCTGTGAACGTGACCTTATTTGGAAAAAGGGTCTTTGCAGATGTAATTAAGGATCTTGAGGCGAGATCACCCTGGATCGGGGTGGCCCCTGAATCCCATGACTGCCGTTCCATTTATGAGAGACAGAATAGACACACAGAGAAGACAGCGAGGCCGTGTGAAGACAGGTAGAGCGTGGAGTGACGCGGCCACAAAGCCAAGCAAGGCCAGCAGCCACCAGGGACAGCCAGGAGCCACTAGAAGCGGAAGAGGCCCGGAAGGATCCTCCCCTAGAGCCCTTGAAGGAGGCGGCCCTGCCCACACCTTGATTTTGGACTTGGGCAGAAATCCAGCACTGTGAGGGAATGAAGCTCTGTTGTTCTAAGCCACCTGGCTCGTGGTCATTTGTTGTGGCAGCCCCAGGAAGCAGTCACAGGTGGGTCCTGCTACCCGCATTCAACAGAGGAAACACAGGCCATGTTTTCAGAGGCCCGCCTCTTTTTAACCCCTGAAGCCTCTTCACTGTCCCCCACGAGGGGTTTTCTGCACCTTAAACTCAAGCCACCAACGAACCTTGTCAGTCTGACCTCTGAAATCCAGAAGCTTCTCACCACCTCTCATCTCCTCCACAGCGGCCACAGGTGGCCCTGCCCTGTCGCCCCTTGCCTGGACCTGCTCCTACCCTTGCCCCAGGCCCCTGCCGCAGTCCATTCTCAATGCAGCAGAGATCCTTCTAGAACGTGTCAGACCTCGTCACCCTGCTCATGACTCCCAATGGCTCCCTGCCTCACTGAGTGGAATCTAGTGTTTACTGTGACCACAGGCCCTTCCAGATCTGGCCCCGCCTCTCTGTCCTCTCCTCCTCCCCTGCGAGGGCTTGCTGGTCTTTGTTCCCATGACCACTGGCCCACTTCTGCCCCAGGGCCTTTGCACTAGCTGCTCTCTGTTCTCTTCCCCCCAGTAGTCCTCTTCTCACAGGGCACCTCTCTTCTTACAGGTTCTGCTCAAGTGTCTCATTACCTGAGAGGGCTTCGTGCAAAGTGCCCCAACCCCACAAATGCTAGCTCTCCAGCCCTCTCGCTGCCTTTTGTTTCCCAGAGTGCTCCTTTTCCAGTTGCTGAGATGCGCATGGCCCCTGTGATGGGCACCTCGTGTGCCCGAGGACAGACAGCACCCGCCCCCCTAAACCCCAACCGCTCCCTGCCAAGAGCCAGTGTTCGGCACCGGCTCAAAAACCAAGTGTGGCAACTAGGCCCAGTCTCTGCCTCGTCCCTGGGTGTGACCCTTTGAACCTGTTGGTTCTGGGGCCACTTGGAAAACCCTCCAGGGAGACAGTCGCCAAGGCCGACTCCAAGCGAGGGCAGAACAACTGCTCGTTTCCAGCCAGGAATCCCAGGGCTGATGTTTCTTCCACAAACATTCACAGCCCAGAGACTGGCCCAAGGGCTGCACCTCCCTCCGCCTGCCCCAACCACACTTGGCAAAACACGGGGGTGGAGACACGCAGGCACTGGCTGAAGCCCCACGACCTCTGCCCCAGTTCCCCCAACTGGACCTCCTGGTGGAGAAGGCCAGGTGACCTTGGGCGGAGGTGCCCAGGCGCGGAGGGAGGAGCCAGCGTTGACAGACCACCCTTCAAGCCCTGTGCACACCTTCAGCACGGCCGCCCTGCAAAATGGGATCCTGACGGGCAGGTCTAAGTCACTCTGGGCAGGCTGCACTTCCAGAAGCTTCAAGGCAACACTTGAGCTTGGACTCCAAAGCCAAGCTCTTTTAGTACCCCCATCCCGCCTCATTCATTCATTCATTCACTGAGCATCTATCGGGTCGTGGCTGTATGCCAGGCACTATTGGAGGCCCTGAGATACAGCAGGAAATACATTTACCCCATTTTTGTGGAGTTTGGGGTGCGTGTGTAAATTGGGGTACACTAAACACACCAACACGTGACTATGATGTATAGAGGTGGCAGCACACAGCTCTGTGGGGGGTGGGCGTGACAATGGGTGGGGGCGGTATTTAGATGGGGGCAGGGAAGGCCTCTGGACAAGGTCCCATTTGGGCAGAGACCTGGGGGAAGTGAAGGGAGGAGGGAGTGGAGAGGCGGGGTGTCTGGGGAACAGCATTCCAGGCAGAGGGAACCGCAAGCGCAAAAGCCCCAGAGTGGGCATGCACCTCCACGGGAAGGAGTGGCAGAGCTGAGTGGGTGACACCAGCCGCGGTGGGGCTTTGCATTCTGTTCCAAGTGAGATGGGAGTAGCTTGGGAGGGTTGTGAGAAGAGCAATGACAGCCTCTGACTTGGATTTTGGAACAAGTTCTGGCTGCTGGAATGGGAGCTTGGGACAGGGGTGGCGGGCGGGGGCCATTTAGGAGCCGCCCGCACACAGAGGCCCGGATGTGCCAGCGGGAGCGGGCTGGGCGCTGGCTGCGGAGGAAGTGGGGAATCCAAGGGGACCCCAAAGGGTTTGCCCTGGGAAAATGGGAGAACGGGGTTGCCGTGCACAGAGCCCCGGCGCGCCCCTCTCCAGGGAAGGTTGGCTTTGCTAAGTCCCACGTGTGGAGGAAGAGAACCCCAGGTCCCTTCAGCTTCCAGAACACTCGGCGGAAGCAGAGGGCGGGGAGGGGAGGCGCGAGAGGAAAGCGTTCCAGGTGGCACGGGCAGCTGCCCAGGAAGAGGCCGCCGGCGGGGCCTGCGGGCCGGCGACCCACCTAGCGCGCCGGCGGTGAACGCACAGTTTCCGACGGCAAAGTGGCCGGGCGTCCCAGCCCTGCCCCGACGGCTAACGAGCTGCAGCCGCGGCCCGGCTCACATGACGGCCGAGGGGGTGGCAGGAGGCTCCGGGAAGTCTTCCTGAGCGTGGGCCCAGGGCGGGCGGAGCGCTGGGGCCCGCGGGGGTCCCGGGGTGGGGGCGGAGGGGCGGGGCTGCAGTCCGGGTGGGGCTGGGGCGGGAGGTAGAAGGGGGGGGGGCGGGGGCTGGGGCAGGGCGCCGACGGGTAGGGGGCCGACCAGTGTGTGTGTGGGGGGGCAGGGATGTCCTGGCAGCAGACGGGGAGGGGTTGGGGGAAGAATGGGGTACGCACTTGGGGTCCTGGGAAGGGCCGTGCAGGAGGGCGGGGCAGGGCTGGGGTGCAGCTGGGGAGGCGAAGCGCGTGCGGAAAGGGGGGCCGGTGAGGGTTCCAGGTGTAGATGAAAAGGGACAGGGTAGAGGGTGAGGAGGGGGCCAGCTTGGGTTCCCGGGTGCAGATGGGGAAGGGACTAGGTGGAGGGGGTGAGGAGGGGTGCTGGATTGGGGACCGGGCGTGGCCGGGAGGGGGCTGGGGTCCCCCTCCCGCCCCGGGACCGCCCGCCCCCTCTGGCCGGACCGGGTGGTAAACAGACGCCGTGATGTCACGGTGCCGCTGACCTGTGGCTGAACCCGGAGCTGTAAATGAGATGCAAGGTGCCAGCAGCCTCTGGCCGCGCGGCCTGCGAGCCACACACGCTCCTCCGCGCCGGCCCGAGGTTACCCCAGCTGCACACGCGGACAGGATGCTGCAAACGCCACCAGACATTGCAACACGCAGCCAGTCTGCTGGCCGCCGCGTGAACCGTCCCGACAGCCCTCCGCCGCCCCCCTGCAGGCACCGGCCCAGCTGGAGCGCCTCCCTCCTCCGCAGCACCCCTGGGGGCTGGCAGCTCCCACCCATTTGGGGACAGCCTCTCCAGTAGGGACCCGGTCTCCGCCTCCCCAAGGGGCCTCCAAACCCAAGGGCTGGGCCTCTGGGGTCAACTTTGGGTTTTCCTGGGAACGGATTAGGGAAGCGCCTGCCTTGCTCTAGGCTTTCTGGGAAGCTCGAGCCCTCTCCCTTGGAAGCCTGGAGGAGGGGGGTGGCCTCCAGGTGTGGCGGGTGTAAGATGTCCTGATGGCCACCATCACTCGGGAAGCAGGGGCGGTTTACTCCCCGGAGCGCCCAGAGCAGCCCTGGCCTGCATACCCCTGGCAGCGCTCAGCGCCCGCGTCGAACTAGCCTTTGGCGTGGAAAGCAGCCTGGCTGGGGCCTCAAGGAATCTGCTCTGGAGCTGATTTGCTGTGTGACTTTTAGATGAGTCACTTG